CCGCGCCCCGGCCCGGAGGCCCCCGGTGCCAGCCCCGGCCCGGCCGCCCGGCCTCCCCCGCCGTCCCGGGACTCCCAGGCTCCGCCGCGCACGGGGCCGGTTCTGGGGGAGGGAATGTAAACAAATCGGGGTTTTATAGTTACCTCACACTCGAGTGCCGTGTGCATCTCCTCTCCGCTCGGTACCAAACCCCGGCTGCACCCAGTCGCGTATTCTCCAAAGCCGCCTGCGCTACCTGCGTCGCGGAGCCCAGCGTGCGGGCCGCGGCTCTACGCCGGCGGCGCACCCGGCCCGCTCCGGCGCCCTGCGCAGCCGCACCCCGGCCTCCTCGGCGCTACGCCAGCGGCGCACCCGGCCCGCTCGGGCGTCCTGCGCAGCCGCACCCGGGCAGCCTCCGCGCTACGCCGGCGGCGCACCCGCAGCGCCCAGCCATTCACTTCGCGGCCGCTCCTGGCGTAGGGGAGCCGCGGCACCCGCGGGAGCTGCACCGACGGGCGAAGCTGGAAGAAACTCGATCTACGCAAATTGCGGAGCCCAGTGGCCCCGCGCTAGTTTTGTTCCGAGAAAGGACGGCGCGGGGGAGTTGGGGCGTCTTCTAACGCATGCGTGCAGCGCCCACGGTCGCCTCGCCTGGCCTCGCACGTCGGTGGCTGAGGCCTTGGGCTGGCGGATGAGACGTGGAAATCTGAAGGGCGAACGCCCTAGCCCAGAGGTCTCTGAGTGATTAGTATTGTTGATCTGTACGAAGACTAGACATCTTTATGAAATTAACTCCTCCCCCTCGGTCCCAGCAACCGTCCCAGTCTCAGGGCAAAACTGAACTTTAGTGCTATGTGCAAAATGTTTTGCATAACTCCCCCCACCGCACCCCCTTTTAAAGAGCACTTACAGTGGGCCTTCCCAAACAGAAAGGAGAAGTTGAGCCTAAAAGGGACGCGTAATTCTGGAGGCCTTAGGCCCTTCCAAGGACTTCCCACCGCCTTAACCACAGTTTTACACCCAAAGGCAAAACGCTGTTCTGCCCAGCAGCTCCGGTGGAGTCATGCCTACATCCTGCCAGTTGTTGTACCCCTTTGCTCACACCGCCATTCTCATGGCCTCCTCCCCTCGTAAGCAACAACCCACAATTTTCTTAAAAGGAAGCTCGGCAAACCCTTTGCTGAATTCATTATTCATTACTCCTCTTCCTGGCTCCTAGTTCATGTCTAGGCTTATTTGTATTCCGCCCGGATGTCTGTGTTTCTGTATTCAAACTGCGCTTGCTTACTAATGAAAGTGAATTCTCGGGGTGCTTTATGGGTGTCCAACAGGGTGCACATAACTCTGAACAGTAGTGATTGTCAGCTTTGTGTCAGGTACCTCCAACATGCTTTGCATGTGCATTAATTTAATACTTGTAACAGTGAAGAATGATTACCCAGGAGATGAAGGCATAGGAAATAAGTAACTTGCCTGAGAGAACAGGAGGCACATAGAGCCAAACCTATTCCGTGTGGCCATGTGGTCTATCTGGCATACGTGAACTCCATGAAAGAAGCTGTTTGCCTTTTGTTTTCTGCCTCTACGTGGCACATCATCCAGCTACTTAATAAACGTCTGACTAAAAGCACACTGCGTTTCAAAGATCCCCCTTTTTCTCATGTGGGGGAACCCAGCCCATGCCCTAACTCCAGCTCTCAAAGGAAGACGTTCTGAAAAGCCGTCACACCTTGCCGCTAGTGGAAGAAGACGGTGGATGAGCAGTTGCTAACCTCTTGCTCATACTACTTCATTCACAGTATCATTTCACACATCTGTACCTGAAATTTAAAGGAAGCCATCCTACCTCCATGAGACAGTGTAATGAATCCCGCGGCCCTTTCAGCTCTTCCAGGCATTAGAAAGGAAACAAGTACAATAATGGAAATACGAATCACACCTTATATTGAACTTTCACTGGCCGTGAAAGGAAGTCCTCGACTGGGACCCGGCTTTCCTTTTAATTTTAAAAAAAAAGTGTTCACCATCCACAATAATGTTAAGGTGGTAATGAAATCTGCAAAGACAGGGATTCTAAGATTCTAAGAAATCAGACCTTTGAAACTCAGTTGTTCTTTTCTTGAGTCAAGAATAGTAATGACCAATAATCAAAAAGTCTCCTTTAATGCAGTTCAGTCTAAACACTGATTTTTCACATGGCCAAATATATTTGGATTAGACAAGGTTGTGCCTAGAGAACTCATTAAGAGAACAAGAAAGAGTAAATGAAGTGAGGAAATAAGCACCAGAACAGATATTTTTAAACTGGGAAAGGACTGTGTCAGGCATATACATTCAAAGGTCTGAACACAGGCTTCAAAACTGGCAATTATCTATCATTTCTAGAGACTCTGTATTTTATATGTGGCAGTGAAATCCCAGATCCACAGTTCTTCCTGGTTCTCAAGAGCAAGACTGGGTGTCTGAAGAGCCCAACTCTCTGAGACAGCAAAGGAAGATAGGCCAGCAGAGCCTCAGTGAATGACAAATTTAACTGATTGCCTGGCAAGTGAAATCACGTAATAAACTGAATGTCAGAGATCTGCAGAGACAAAAATAAACTGGAGATATGAAGTGACACAAATATTAAATCACTCCCCACCCAGAACAGAAAAGCCAACTTGAGACTCAATGACTTTGGCTGTGAAAGAAGTTACTGTACTCCTATTATTTATGTTGCCCAAGGAGTATATTTTTTTTCAGGCGTTTTATGAAAAAGGTTCCAAGAAAGGAGCAAAGGTGATTATCTAAATTCCTAAGGGTAGAGGACTGCAGAATAAAGATAAACAAATAGCCCACTTCTCATTGTCACTGTTAGCCAATATTTCCCACTCAAGAATACTTGAAGAAAAACAGGCTTGGTAGTCCCCTACAGACAACATAGGACTCAGCTGCCAACAGGTGGCCATTTTAGATCCTTTAAAATCCCAACTGCACAGCTGACTTGGCCTTCGAAACTGAGCTCCAAGTCCAAAGTAATCAAGATAAAAAGCAGCAAAAATGATTATATTAACATTGCAAATCTTAAATGTATTTATGATGACTACACTTCAGCTTAAGGGAAATTACCAACGTGAGAACAATTAACCATGAGTTACTGCTAAATATCTTAAAAGTATATTACATTAGTTGAAATGTATTAAAGATTCATTTATAAAAGTCATCATGTGAAAACAAGTTTCAGATCTTGCCCAAAGCTTCCTGATAATAACACCATTTCATAACTAAATCGACAAAAACAAGCAAGTCTATCGCTTAAGCCAAGACACACTTAGCAAATATTGCCTACTTTCATGTGTTCAAACATTGACAGCAAGAATGCAGCAAAACTGTACATTTCAGGTAAGGCAATAAATGAATTGGCGAAACAAGAGTAGCAGTTACTGCAGGAAAGATAGCTGGCTCAGCAGTTAAAGCTCATTTGTTGAACTTACAGAAAACCCTGGTTCAAGTCTCAGCACCTACATAGCAGATCACAAACATTTGTAACTCTAGCTCCAGGAGAGCCAATGCCATCCTCTGACCTCCACAGGAACCAGGCACATACCTAGTACACATACATGCATTCCAGACACACATGCAGTATTCATACATGCATTCAGACAAACATTCATATCCATGAAGTAAATAAAACTATTTTTTTTCAAAGTGGTGATTATAGTGATTTCTGAATCTCTCTTGTATTACTTTTAGTTCTAAGTGAAAAAGCATACTTTATTTATAGGAAAATAAGCTGCTTTTCTGCTCTTTATGGAATTGCATAAATCAGCACTTCTTTTCATCACACAGGATGGGAGATGTTTTAGGTAATTTCTCATGCTTGTGGAGAACGCATCTGGCAATGCCCAGTAGTTTAGGACTCGCTCTGCCAGGCTTGCTTGCGTTCTTGTGGATGATCTCACCCACAGTATCCGATGATTTCATACTCAAGTTTCATTCTAATTATAAGGATAAGGACGTTGTTTCTCTAAGCAGTTACATTTCGCAGTTTGCCTTCCCAACCTAAACACATGAATTGACGTGGCTAAAAAAGTCTCTGGTTCCACTAGTTCTGGACAAGAACCACACAAGAAGACCAACAGAGTCAACTAACCTAGATCCATGGGGGCTTACAGAGACTGAAGCACCAACCAAAGAGCATGCATGGACTGGACCTAGGCCTTGTACACACATGTAGTTGATAGGCAGCTTAGTCGTCATGTGGGCCTCCCTAGCAAGTAGAGCGGGTACTGTCTCTGACATGGACTGCTTTTAGATCATTTGCCAGCACTTAGATCCCTTTCCCCTAGCTGGGCTGCCTTGTCTGGCCTCAGTAGAGGAGCTTGTGCTTAGTCTTGCTATGACTGGATATGCTGGGGTGGGTTGGTGGGTGAGGGCTCCGCATTTCTGAGGAGAAGGGGAAGAGAAGAAGGGGGAAGAAGGTGGGATGGTGGGACCGGGAGCAGAGGAGGAAGGGGGTACATTCAGTATATAAAAATCAATAAATAAAAGTTTTTAAAAGTGGCAACATTTTAATGATGTAAATATAATTCATTCCTACTATAACCCTGTAAAGTGGATATTATGGCATCTGTTCACTTTATTACAGTCCCTAGATGGCAGATTCCGAATTGCAGTCCCAGCCGCCTGGCTCCTGAGATGGTACTCATACCATTTGCCTCTGCTTTCAAGACTGTGCCCAAGGCTGGGGAGGTAGCTTAACCCGCCAGTTGCTTGTCACACAAACATGGTGACCTGAGTTTAATCCTCAACCCAAGGAAAAGGCCTCCATGTGGTGGAGCATGCCTGAAATTCTAACTCTGGGGAAGAGACAGAGATCCACAGCTTCCTGGCTAGCTGTCTTAGCCTACCTGTCAAGCTCCAGGCAACAAGAGCAAGACTGTCTCAAAAACCAAGATGGCAGGCACCTGGGGATCGATATTGGATGTTGTTCTCTGGCCTCCATGTACACATCTGCAAACACAAGGCGCATGACTGGGCCAGGCCCGATTTTTGTGACTATGTCTAGACACATTCTCTGAACTAGTAGTAATTAAAACAGGAAAGAGAAAAGATCCATAAAATGGCACTTGCCAGTCTGTAAATGCTGTGGGCCAATGGAAACTCTAAATCTAATGTTAAAGAAAATAAAGAATAAAAACAAAAACACATTGAGATGTTTGTATTGTGAACTTTTGTTCTCTCCTTGTGCGTTATCTTCCACTTCACTAGCTCGAATCAACTCTGAGGATGATGTTCCCTTCAGTCAAAAGCAGAATGTTCATTAGTCAATCCAGTTT